ACTACATCGTATGCATGAGATGTATTCACCCGATTTCGTTAAATGTCATAAAGCATTAAGAGTTGAGTAGACCTTACGCCTCCTCTACCAGACAGACCTCCATCACCTTAAACGAAATAGAGGGAATACATCCCATAAGCAAGGACGATCTCTGACTGCTACAGGAATCAGAGAGAAAAATATATAATATAATCAGAGAGAAAAATAGATGATAGAATCAGAGAGAGGAAGATTCCCAGGCATGGGCATCAGCTGCTCAACTTGGTCGGAGCGTCGGGGAGACCTTGTGGAAGACATCTAATCCTGTGTCCTCTGCCGTAGCAATCGTGATTTCCAGCAGCAGACCATCGACTTGCCACATGCTCAGTGGTTGCAATACATTAATTGACTTGCATATTGGCGACAAAAGTGTGTAATCCTATCGACAAATAATCAACACAATCCGAATTTGCATCGCATTTTTTGTAGATGATGAAGTGAACACGATGCTTGGAGGTGGACTCTGACCTTTGTACCATAGTTTGGTTCTTAGTTAACGCCTTACCGGCACTCCCGACGTCCAATGTGCTGTCTAGTCGACGCTCAGTTGCAGACATTCTTGCATGACCAGCACAGCGACAAGTTTGTAAACATGCATTTCATATCCACTTTCTGCCGCGTCCTCCGACACCTCGGGTTGTTGAACCTGTAGCCACGCGTCACCACACTTTGCCCATCCAATGCTTAGTTGTGTTGCATCCTAGACGTAGCAATGGCTCAACAGCAATCACGTGAGTGAGTGACTAATCCTCACTGTCTATTTCGCTTCGATCAATCAAAGCTTGACACCGCATCGTCCAATCAGAAGTTGACATGCAAAAGTACGCTAACCTGTTTCGATTGGTTACGTTTCCTTCTGCTTGGCACCGCCGTTCAATAACTGTCTTTCTATTGTCAGCCGTTGCTAAATTGGACGCCTGAGTCAGTCCACGACCTGCTTTGGAGCATCAAAGACCCACCAACTCTGCCTAAAGGTACTCTCGTGCTCAAGCACGGCTTGTCAACTCGCACGACAGGTCTCTCCGCCATACAAGCGACCGTGTGAAAACGTTGTGCAACAGCAACCTCATCTCGAGAATGGGTCCATTTTCTCTCCAAAACTGGGCTCAGCTGAAGCAAGTGTCGTAGTTGCCTTGGCAAACGATTTCAGATATTCGTAAGTGAGTAGGGTTTCGAGACTACCAGTAAATCAGACGTGTAGATTCATGGGAGACATCAAAAGGAAGATGATTGCACCCAGGACAAGGGAAAGCAAGGCTATGTGAAATTGAATGGAGACGTCAGCTCAACTCATATCATTGTGGGAAAATTCTACTACCAGTCCTTCATCAGCTTAAACGAAATTAGGTGAATGCATCTCATACTACTGATTTACTGGTAGTCTCGAAACTCTTATTATATACGAAAAATATTCTGTAAATCAAGGTTTAAACTGCAGTTCACAGGTGCCTGGATGAGAACAACTTTTAGGAAAATAAAGCTGTGAAATTGAATGGAAACGTCAGCTCTAATCATATGAATGTGGGGAAATTCTACTACCAGTCCTTCATCACCTTACACGAAATAGGGTGAATACATCTCATTAAAAGATTTCAAACCCATCCCACCTCCTGACTGGTTGGTTCATCATTTCAAGAGAGCGCGCACGCAAGCAAATCCAGAAGATGGGTAAAGGTTTCTGATTCTTATCTCTTCTCGAATATTCCCCATCCAAAAGTGCATTCCTTTTTCATTTGAGCTCATCTTCCATCAAGCCGGGCCGATAAGTTATCCCAAGTAACACTAGTTTAGGCCTATCTATCTCATTATCCCATCCATCTGTCGATTTCTCCGTTGTTATGCATTTCTTTGAGCATACCGCCCAGTCTTTCGTTGATCCTCATGGTTGGATCCTGTCTCAATATTTGATAAGAGTTTCGGTTGCTACGGCTACATTACCTTTTCTCTCTTTACTGTTTTCTGTCCACTGGTCATTCCTTTGCAATATTTTGCGTATCCAAGCCAATCCCACTTCTGTTTGATGGCTCTTGATGTGCCAGGATTGTTGGGATCATTTCCATTCCCCAGCCCCCGCTTTATCTTTTCCAGATATTTATTTTAGCTGGAATGTTCACAACCTGCACAAGAATATCTTCTGGCAAAAACGCAGCCCTCCAAGGGACTCCGGACAAGCTGCTTTCCACCGGGTCACCCTGGCAATACGACCCAGAGGCGAAAACAAAGCCAAACCAATTCGATAAAACGAAAGGAGATCATGGCTATAATAATGGTCACACCTTCGAATATTGGTTCAGACCTGTCTAGCTCCTTATTCCGAAGGTCTCTATTGCCTAATATTATTCTTGGACTAAGTATTGATTTTGAAATACCAACCAGCATTGAGTAATCGTGGTTGGAGGAGAAATTAAGACCACAGCCAGCATGTACTGACCTACCTGTCTTCTGCTCGGAAGGGCTAAACTTGCAAAATGGAAAGACAATTCTCCCTCTTCATTTCCAGTATGACCTCCATAATCGTCTCCGTCAAGTTGAATGGGAAGAAGAAATGACTTTCTGCACAATTGCCAAATAATCAGCTACAAAGTTGACCGACATTTTTGCTGTAGATCTTTCACTCCTTTCAAGAAGGGTTGCTCCCTTTTTAAAGTGTGTTTTCGGCTAAAATGGGAGGCACAGACGGTCGTATCGGAATTACACGCACATGCTCGTAAAGCCTGTGGAAGACGATGTAGCATGGAGTGGGAAGAGAAAGATTTCTTGGCTCTACGTCCAAACTTTGGCTCCGATTGACTCCTTCAAACGGGAAAGAGGAGACGAGACGGGATCTGATGCTCCTGAAATGGCCGACTCTTCGGGCCAGTCTACGCAACGGCGTAACGCGTTCGAAGGGCGAGGCACATGACAGACTTTCTGGCCTTCGTCAGGCTCGAACAAGTAGCGCGTCGTGATTCGAACTCACCTCCGGACCGGTCTCGGACTCGTCGAGCACACTCGTGACGCAACGGCCGTTGCGCTGAGACTCCAAGTGTTGCAGGAACTGGGCGGCCTGCAGGTGGTGAAAAGAGGGAAAAAGAAAGACTTAAACCGGAAGTCTTTGGCCAAGCATTTCTCGCCAGCCTTCCTCGAGCCCAAAAGAGGCGTGGCCGCAGCAACGACCTCTCCACCTTCAACGCTCCATCTTCCACGACCCATTTGACAACACCATCCGATGTCCACCTTCCCTCTTCCACCCACTAAGCAACATCTCCTCCAATCCAGCTTTCATTTACCCACTTTTC